AGGAAGAACATAAGGAAATAGTAAATAAACTATTTTATCATAGCTATGCAGCAGGTATTATTAAACATGTTTTATAACAAAAAGTATGGCTCACACTAGCTCAAGATGTCACAGCAAATGTTAGAACCAACTCTGATTTCAAGTGTGTGACATGTGTCCTCAAGATAACTGCCTCTTAGTCACTGATACCTCCTCAAAGGACTGTGCTGATTAAGGGATATCATGTATGTAAATTTGCTCTGCAGGCTGTAAAATGGTATACAACATGAATAAGAGGATCTTTCATGCTATGCTTTATGTTTTTACTTTAGGTTTCAAATATTTAATGATGGTAACAAAATTTCCCATTTGGAATTGTTTAAGAGAAGAAACCTACAAACTGACTTTTTAAGTTTTTCTATGACCAAAGTGAAAAGAGACAGAATGATTTTTAGGATCTCCTGTAGAACAGCAACAACTTCATCAAACCCCTTTGGAAGTTGCAAGCACCAACATCAATACTGTTATCCATAACAACCATCACGTAATATTTTTTGGATTAATGTTGACATTTCACAGAAAGTAACTTCGAACTGTAAAAGTCCAGATGTTCCTACGGGGCATCTTACAGCAGAACTTATAAGAATATTTTAACAATTACTAAAAACAGAATGGGATGTTATTCTTGCAAACGTCAGTTTTCAACCTTATTAACAAGTTTCTTCCAGATGGCTTTACTCTTAGGAGTGCATCCTGTTCTACACCTACAGCAACAGGCCTTTCTTACAGAACCAGTTTCCTTTTCCAGCAATTGATAAAAAAGTTAAGCCAGAAGTTTCAAGGCTACAGACAAGATTTGCTATGTTTGAATCACAAATATATCTACCTCTTAGAGAGCTGAAGATTATATAAATTAACACATCAAAGGGCATTTAGTAATTGTGGAATGGCAAGAGAGAGGGTATAGAGGTAAGTTATGAGGTTTTCGAATTTATCCTAAGGGGAAAAGAAAACCCAGTTGAGGGTTTCCTGCAGGAGAGTACCAAGATCAGATTGGCATTTTAGAAAGATCTTTCTGGACATTGAAAAGCTTTGGCCCAGCGGCAAGGAGGCCAGCTGGGAGGCTGAGATGCCTGAACCAGGGTAGTGGCACTACGCCAGACTGAAACATTCAGTAGGCAGAATCCATAGGACTTAGCCAGTGATTAGACGTGGGGAGAGGAGGTAGTCAAGTGCCAGAGTCATGAAGATGCTACCAAACAAACACTCCATTTCTTTTCCCTTTGTGGTACACGCATTGCCCCTTTGAAGTTAGCTGTGGTCATGTAACTTGTTCAGACCAATAAAAAGTGAGATTACTTCTAGGTGGAATCTTTAAAAGCCAGTTTGCAATTCACCATGTCACAGTAACCAAGTGCAAGAGGGTGGCTCTGTCAGCCTGGATCCCAAAGTAAAAATGACATAAGGTAGAGATTCTCTGCTCCTTCTTCAAACCAAAGTGAACCTGGACCAGAGTCAACTGGATAAACAAACCTTTGCTTTTTACTCCACTGAGATCCAGGGGTTGTTACTGCAGCATAATTTAGTCTATCCTGACTGATACAGTGAGAAAGCAACAATGGTCATCCTGGATATATGTGTCCGAATAAGAACAGTACTTAGAAATACACACAAATTACATATTTAGAAATCTGTCTTAAAGGGCAGTAATAGCCACAGACACAAGATTACATTAAAAACATTTAAAAAAAAAAAAAAACCTTGACTATGTCCCAGCAGAAACGATGGCTGCATTTTTAAAAGAGGAAAAAATTTCAATATGTACTTAAGAAATTACATTTCTTATGATCTAAGAATCGATACTATAAAGCGTTATATACTTATTTTCTATTTCAAGAGTTTGAAAAGTGGAGTGTCAGTGTGCTTATCCCAAGAATAGATAAGAAGCAAGGGAAAGCCCCTTTCCTTCTTCCATATATTCACCTTTCACAATCAGCTCCTGCCTCCAAATTGTAAGTACCACTACCTCCACCACTAATAATAATAATAACTAACAATTATTGAAAACTATGTGCCAGGCAAAACAGTTAAGGCCCTTACTGCATTAACTCATTTAACCTTCATAACTTGACTCCCCTTTACAGATGAGAAAACCTGGAGAAGGCCAAACAGCATGCCACTAGTCAAGGATTGTCTATTTCCAAAGCTTGCGCCTCTCATGAACGATACACCTCAGTTCCTCTTTGAGGTAAGCCCAGAAAATTTCTTTAATCATGGGCACTGAGAAAATGACTTTTAACTGGAATAGGCGGGAAAAAGACAACATAATTTAAAAGGTAGGAAGGGAAGAAGACAAGAAGAGAAATATGCCTCGAAAGGGGATAGCTGTGGGTAGCCAGAGAGGTATGGGGGTGATGAGAGCAGAGGAAGAATGAAGTTCTAGAAAGCAGAAGGGAAAGTCAGAACAAAACCAACGTCAGCCTAAACTAAGCTTTCTTTTCACTCACTCACCCTGGATAAATTCAGTAAACTGTTTTGGTTGAAAAGGCTACTTCTATAAGCAAATAATTCAGAATAATAGAAATGAACTAGCTGTATACAACAGACTATATTCAATGGCTTCCCAACCCAACCGGCTTACGGCTACAAGTAAGAATTTTACAGAACGATGCACCATACCCACGGATCCTGGGTTCAAACCTCAGCTCTGCCACTTGGTAGGCAGGTGACCCTGAAACAAGTTTCTGAACAGTTGAGCCTCCGTTTCCTCCTCAGTAAAACTGTGCCAATAATGCCTATTTCAAGAGGCTATTTTTCTTTTTTTCTGGTTTTTACTCTTGACTGCACAACGCCAAACTGAGAGCTGCCCTGTCAAGTTCGGTTTCAACTACATAATTACCTTAAATTATTTCCAAGTACAAAGTATAACTTCTTACTCACATATTTAACCTGTTAAAAAAGGCATTATCAAAAGAAAAGCCTTATTTTTAATTAATAAATACATAATGAGTCCTTGTTATACATCCAGGACTCTACTAGGTGCTAAATCTACACTGAAGAAATAGAGCCATGGATTGAGACTCTATTGTCAGATCATAATGCAAAGTTTGACTCCACCATTTATTTACGACCTAGGTGACCTCGGGAAATAACAGTAATGGCAACAAAAGCCAATACATGAGTGTCTGTTAAATCAGGCTCTGTTGCATGTATTTTCTTATGTAATCGTCTCAATAATCCTATGATGTAGGTACTGCTACTTTCCCTATTTTACAAGTATGAAACTGAACCACAGAGAGAATAAGCACTTGACCAAGGTTAACAGATTCTAAAAGAGACAGCAGGACTCCAGAGCACGAGCCCTGTGCTTTCAACTATTAGACAACAGTCTATAGTGTATGCATAATCATCTTCTGCAGGGCTGGGTGAAACATTAGAAATAGGATGTGGAAAGAAACAGTATGTGGATAGTAGGCACATAGTAGGTCGACGAGGGAGAAGACTACAAGCTATCCTAGAGGACAAAGCATGAATGAATGAATGAAACTATTCAGGTTCCTTAGTCCCAACCCTCTTTCAAAGTCTTAGGACACTTGATCAATTATTACCCAAGGTTGGGTAAAAGTTCATGTTTATGTTTCATACTACAGGAGGCTGTAAAAAGGGAAAAATTTAAGGTTGTGACCATACCAAATTACCATAAACACCAAACTTTACCTCTACAGAAAACCCCTTATTTATTTCTATGCCTCCACCAAACATCATTCTACAGTCACTGCTGCTGTTGGTTAGAATCAACACGAGATTTGCAAAAGGCATTTTAAAAGAAAAGATGAAAAAAGAAAACTATCTTAATTTCTTCACAAAGAAGTAAGGGTGGTTAGAATTATTCTTAATACAAAGTAAAATGAGAAAGTTTCTAGAGACTAACAATAATTTACTTTTTAAACAAAACACAATATGTCAGAATCACTAACATAATACAAAATGCATCAATTCCTATGGTTTTGAATACTATATTCCTTTATTTCCATACACAGATTTCTTTACGTCTAACTGAGGCTAGCTGAGTTCTGGGAATCTCTATATGAACTCTGTAGTTTAGAAACATGGAATTTGGGGAACCCAGTCATCTAGTACAACCCCTTCATCCTAGAAAAAAGGAAAGCAAGGCTAGATAAGGTTAATAATTTGTTCCAAAATCACTAAGTTTCTAAAGATCCATTCCTTTCTTCCAATAGGATGGTCTCCCTGCCAGCAGTGTTTCTATTCCTATATCAGTCGCATGAAGATGGATACTAGGTAGAGAAACCTAAGTTGGATAAGCAGCACATAAGAATACAACGGCAGAAAAGAGTCTAGGTGTGTATAAAGAAAGGTACATGCTCACTGGGCAAAAGGCTATCTGTCCTATTTTGTTTTATTCACTACCTAGTAATTTCAAAATGAAGTTCCTCCAAAGAAAGATAAACAGGAGGATTTGCCCCTTTACAATGCATTAAAGCTAATTACTTGAAGAAGAGAAGGTCTATTACAAATTTTAGGGACCTCCAAAGTAGTCTATAGCTACCCCCTCCATTGTTTACCCAAACTCTTCTTTTAGTCCCATGTTGTTAAAAACTTAAGTCAAAACCCTGGCTGCTTCTACGCAGGCAAGAGAAAAAGCCAGAAATGTGACGCCGTTACTCCGTTGCCAAAGCTGCTACAGATATAAGATGAAAAATGCTTAAAATGGACACTTCCATTCATCTCCTCTCATAATGAAAAGGATTCTTCATTTTTAGTCAAACTCACATGCCAAATAAGGCGTTCTTTCTCTGTCAGATCTCCTATTGAGGGCCCGACTTAGATGTGCTTTATTTGTATGAGATCTCTCAGGGTGCGATATAAAGTAACTGTAACTCCTGTTGTCAATGTCACTTCTCTGCTGGCATTTATCTGATGGACAGCCCTTTCAGGGCCGTCACAAGACCGCTCAAAAACAGACTTGGAGAGGGATGGGCCAGCGGGACAGCACTTACCGAGAACACTGCATTCTGAAGCCCAAAAGGTATGGGGGTCAGTCTGGCCAGCGCCACCACTTTCAGGCCGCTTCCACCCTCCACGACGCGAATAACGGCGCTCAGCTTCTCGCTGCTCTGGATCCTGGCGGCCACCCAGGCGGTGAGCAGCCGCTTGCAGACCACATGGGCGATGAAGGTGCCGATGAGGATGCCCACCACCATCAGTCCCATGCCCAGCACGAAGCCGTACAGGTAGCCAGCGGCCACGTTGAGCACGATGTAGCCCCAGCCGCAGGGGAACGAGACCACGATGAAGCCCACTATGAAAAGCAGGACCCCCAGCAGCGAGTCGAGACTCTCTACCCAGAGCAGGAGGTGCTGCAGATAGCGGCGGACCAGGGCCAGGGAAGCGAAGCACAGCGCGGCCAGCAAGCAGACCAGCACGAGGCTCCGGCACCAACAGGTGCTGCCAAGGCAGCAGCAGCGCCAGTTTCTCACCTCCGCCACGCCGACCACCACCCCGCCGCCGCTGCCGCTCCCGGGGCCGCCCGCCAAGGCCCCGCCCAGCGCCGGCAGCTCCGAGGCCGCAGGCGGACCGTGGCGCTCCAGACAGGCGCCGAGCAGGGCGCCCGAGGCCGCCGCCGCCGCCGCCGCCGCGCTCGCCCCGCCCCCGCGGGAAGGGCGATCCGCCCGGTCGTCCCCGTCCGCCGCCCTCGGCAGGGCCCAGCGGGCCGGCAGCTCGGCACAGCCCGGGAGGGCGGCGTGCTGCAGGAGCCGGGGGAGCGCCTGGAGCAGGCTCCCACCGGGGCTCCACATGCCTTGGCCCGACTCGGGCCCTCAGCCGGCCAACCCTTCCGCCGCGGCGCCCGTCAGGCAGCGGCCCTTCATGGCGCTGCGCACGCCCGACCTCGACTCTCTGCGTCCGCTCAGCGGGTAGGAGACGGCCGGAGGAAAGGGCGAAGACTCGGCAGCGGAGGAACGGCCCCGCGGAGAGTGCGAAAACTCCGGGCGCCGCACCGGCCGAGCCCGCCCCCTTTCGGCCAGCGGGGCGGGGCCTCAGGCGCGCTGGGGCGGGGCCTGGAGCGAGCGGTATCCTGGCCACGCCCCCGTGACGTACAATTCTCCCCTTCCCCCACCCCTCCCCGGCTGCGAGGGAGCTGTGCGGGAGCGGGGTGGCGGCAGCCGCGTCGAAGGCCGGGGCTGTGGGCTGCTGAATGGAGCGGCTAGGAGGGGAGAAGAAGCCGAGGGAATGGGGGCGCCGGAGAGAAAGGGGCACCAGAGTCGATGACGGGCGGGGCGCCCGGCGCCCTCCCTGCCTTCCCAAACGGGCGCGCGCTCTTCCCCTCGGACTCGGTCCCAGTCCGCAAGCTGCTTGGACCCTAGCCCAATACCAATTTGTCGTTTCTGTAGTAACCTCTAATCAGAGCGGGCAGCTGTCGGGGTCGCTCACATCCACAGCTTCTTTGGGACACTGGAGGAAGAAGAGTTCTTTATCTGCTTTGAGGAGGATTTGCTAATTATTTACCTCCCCAGGTAGTGAAGTCTCCATGCCGGTTTTAGGTCATCACTAGGTTCTTAAGGAGCTGGAGAAATTACGTACAAAGGTCCACTCCTGACAGAACTCCTCTGACCCCAGAGGCCCTTTAGAGAGTGCTAGACACTTGGACTAGGGACTTCTCAAAAAGATTCACAAAAGGACGTTTCTTAAGGATTCGCGCTATCATATGGCTCCTTCGCAAACTCTTTTGCTGGTTTCTTTTCCTCTTTTTGCTCCTTTGAGGTTAGTGTTCCCCAGGTCGTCTTTTCTTCCTTTTTAGAGTTCACCGAGCCATCTCATGCAAGCTCATAGCTTTGACCCCACTGTGTCCCCCATATGCTGATGTCCCCCAAGTCTGTGTCTTTTTGCCGCTTCTTCCCTTTCGCTCCAGCCTGTGGACACATCCAGGTGGAGTTCCTGTGGCCCCTTAAACTCAGCGCTCAGCATAGCTTGGTGGATAGATATTAACCAGGGCTCTAGTGCAAAACAAATTTAGTAACTGTGTGGCTGGCACATCATTAATCCCTAAATCCACCTTTGTTTTTAAATTGCAAAGTGAAGATACTAGTACAACTTAACCTCGTAAAATTGTTGTGAAGATTATTAAATAAGACAATAAAGTAAGATGCTGGAATCAATGTTCAACTGTGTGAAGGTATCCATAATTAAAAGAATCATTTCCCATAGACCTGCTCTTCCTTTTGAGTTTCTTACCTCAGTGCATGAACTTCCACCCACTTACCTACCAAATAACTGGCCACGATGCTTTGGGTCCTTACTGATCAGGTGCCTGCTTGCTTATTCGTGTCTTTCTTTTCAATTCACCCTGGTTTGGCTGAGTCAGGAAAAATCCTTCAAAGGTGCCAGGCACATGCTGCTTTCTTCACCTTTTCCAATTCCTGTGGTTCACATAAGGGAGCAGCTCTTACTAGCCCCTCAATTAGGTGCAGTCTTACTTCCTCTCTAGAAGCTTCCAATACTACCTTCCTATCATCACCACTCCCAATTTAATGTTTCCTTTCCATTCTCACTCTCCTTTCTACGTAGCTATTATCACGTTTGTCCATTCTGTTGAAATTTTTTGTTTACATCACTATCTCCCTCTTTAGACGGAATTTCTTCAAGGTGGGTCCATTACTTATTTAATTTAAAAAACAGTAAGCACTCTTTAAATGTTTGTTGAATGAATAAATGATCACAATTTATAGGGGAAGATATGAAGGCAGAAAAAACAGGAGGCTAACAAAATTGTCTGGGCAAGAATCTATGAGGGGCTGAAGTAGGGTAATGATCATGGAGTTAGTAGGGTGGGGATAAATTAGAAAGAAGCATCTATAGGCTTGGTGACTGATTGGGTATTGGAAGAGAGGGAGAAGGAGGCAAAGATAACCCCTGGGTTTCTTATTTGAAGTAGTAGATAGATAAAGGGGCCACTAACCAAGACAAAGAATACAGAAAACTTGTGGAAAAGATGAAGCGTTCAGTCTTGGTACGTGAGACTTGAAGTGTCTATGTTAAGATCCAACTGTAGCATTCTAGTAAATGGTTGAAAATATGGATAAGGAGTGAAAATGGAGCATCTCACCTAGAAATTTTGACATTGGTGTATAGGCAGCAGTTAAAACCATGGTTATGGATGAGTGAATGCTGGTGGGTGTGCCAAATACTCCCTGTTCCCTTTCAGGTACGTGGTGGGCTGGCATGCCCTGGCCTCTTTGTGGTTGAGATGAGCTACATGACGCATTCTGCCAATGAATTGTGAGCATAGCATTTAATTGCTGATGCAAGATCTTCCAGAATTCTTTTTCTCTTTGCTATGGCAATCAACAGTGTTCCACAGAATATATGCTCTATCAGTCTCGGTCTTGGAGAGAAGATGATGCCGAATAGTGTCCCATCCACCTCATGATGGATATTTAAAGTGAGAAGTAAACCTTCATTGTTTTAAGTAACTGAGATTTGAGGGTTTTATTTGTTACCAGAGCTGATCTTTGTCTCTTCTGACTGATGTGAATGAGAAGAGAATAAGAATGAAAGCTTGGGGACACCAGTATACTCATTATACTATTTTGCACCCAAGAAAGAGAGACCCAGAGACCACCTAACTAAAAAGGTGAAAGCAGGAGTATTTATATGGGTATATCAGAAGTTGCTAGGAAGCAAGTCATCTCTAGAGAGAAGTTACTCTCTTTTCTTTTCCATTTTATCTCTCTTCTTCTCTACCTCTTCGATCTGTTCTCATACTGCCAACTGCTAATTAATCCTCTTCTTATCCCATAATCCACATTTCGGAGGAGTACAATCCAGTTGCAAGCGCCTTTAGCTTTAGGCCACTTTATGAGCTGCCAGGCAGCCCGTCGTCAGGCCATTCTTGTGTCTGGTGCCCATCCTAATCCAAACGGTGCCCCCCCTCTGCAAAACAGCAACCACAACACTCTCCTGAGCATGGGGGCTTTGGTCAGGGCAATGCAAACTATAATAGGACATTTCCATTCTTGTCCCACTACAATTTATTTTTCACAGAATTGTGAAAGTTATATTTTAGTTATGTCTTAACCTACAAGCACTGCAACCTCCAACCCCCAGGCTAAAATCTTTCTGTTGCCTAAGCAAAAACACCCAACTCCTTGCCTGGCCTACAAAGTCCTTTATGATCTAGCCTCTGTCTACCATTCCTACCTCATCTCCTGCCACCCTCTCTCCAGCCACACTGGCCTCCTGTCTCTCCCTCGGATAAGCCAAACTGGTTTCCATCTCAAGATGTTTGCTCTCTGCCGTTTCTGATCTCTCTTCTTTGAATACTCTTCCCATAGTGCTTAGAACACCAGCCCTGGTGGCCTAGTGGTTAAGATTTGGCACCCTCACTGCCATGGCCCAGCTTCTTTTGCTGGTCAGGGAACCGCACCATCTCTCTGTCAGTGATCATACTGTAGTGGCAGCTACATGTTGTGATGATGCCAAAAGCTGTGCCACTGGTATTTCAAATACCAGCAAGGTCACCTATGGTGGTTTCAGCAGAGCTTCCAGACCGAAACAGACTAGGAAGAAGGACCTGGCCACCTATTTCCAAAAAAATTGGCCATGAAAATCCTATGAATAGCAGTGGAGCATTGTCTGATATAGCGCTAGAAGTGGGGAGGATGGTGCAAAAAGACTGGGCAGGATTCTGCTCTTCTGTACACAGGTTGGCTAGGAGTCAGAAACCACTTAAGGGCCAGCCCCAGTGGCCTAGTAGTTAAATTTGGTGCTCTCCACTTTGGCAGCCCAGGTTTGGTTCCCAGGTGTGGACCTACACTGCTCTGTTAGTGGCCATGCTGTGCTAGTGGCCCACATACTGAAAATAAAAGTAGAGGAAGATTGGCATGGATGTTAGCTCAGGACAAATCTTCCTCAGCAAAAAAAAAAAGAAAAGAGAAAAGAATCCACTAGACAGCACTAAAAAAAATCCCTTAGAAAACTTTCTTATTGTTTCTCATTATTATTTCTTTTAAGCTCTACTATCATCTCAAAGAGGACTGCTCTGATTACCCTCATCTAAAGGACTGACCTCCCTGTGTTGGAGTCATGTACTCTTTTTCTTCGTTGCACCTACCATCTGAAGTTGTCCTGTATTGTTATTGTCTTCTCTAAGGAGAATGAAAGCACCATGAAAATGATCATCTTTTCTGTCTTGTGATCCCCTATATTCTCTAGAATAGTCCCTGGCACACTAAATGCTTTTTAAGTGACTGAAGGAAATGGGAGGTAGTGTGCTCATGTGCTGGCTGTTCTCTTCTGGTCCTCCCTCTGGGTTCATTCCATACTCTTCCCAGCATTGCTGTGCATATCACCAGGTTGACCTCTAGAGTTTGCATCACCCAGCCTCCATTGTGCTTGGGGTTTCCAGTTAAGTTTGACCAATGAGATGCACCAGAAGACTGAAGGATAGTAGGAGTTAGTGGTCAGGGTATTTATTTATTCCCAACCCAGCTTCAATATGTTTTTGTCGGTGACTTAATTCTTCCATGAATAAAAGTTCCTGTTGAGTGTCCCCTTTGCCAAGTTTTTAGCTCTTTCTCGGCTCTGGTAATGGTTTCCTGATGTTTCACCATCCTTTACAATACTCCCTTCACTAGACTCTCTCTACTATGGCTTCTGTTGCCTGCTGGTACCCTGACCAACACAGCTGGACAGGTCAGAGGCTAATGAGTTCAGTGAAACTAACATTTGAGTTTCACATAACTCAGGTTCACATAACTTACCCAAGGCCCCACAAAGAAAGTGATGAAACCAGATTTCAACTTCAAAGCAAGTTCAGGAATTATGAGGAGATCAGGAGAAGCTGTTATACTAGAAGTCCAAGGAAGACAGAATGTTAAGAAGGAAGGGTCAGTCAACAGTGCCCAATGTAGCAAAGGGTTCAAGGTGAGAGAAGGACCGATAAGGGTCCCTTC